TAAGGGTATGCTCATCACTGTTGTTGGATGTGAGCGAGAGTCGTACTTGGTTCGCTGAGTTCGTAGTGGGGTGCGCTAACAACTGCGCCACTGCCACACTACACACGCACAGACAGAAAAAAGACGAAGATCCCCCGTGTAGCCTTAACAGACTGTTGGGGCAAGTGCTGTTAGCGAGCACCTATGAAGGCCGGAACGGTCCACGAGGGGGTGGGTGGCCAGCACCACGCCCTATCGCCTTTGTCTCCCCAGTGGCGATGTTTACACACCGCACCAGGTACTCATTTGAGACTGAGTCGACCTAGGGGAGGCCCAGGACCGGTTTAGATAATCGTCACTGGGTGTTGGCCGTGAGCGGGAATCGAACCCGGGTCGCCAGGTTCGTAGCGCAGCGCGCTAACCGCTACACCACCGCTCCCCACAGAAACACACACAGAAACACACACACACAAAGACACACACATAAATACACACAAAGACACACAAACACAGACCAGTGGGGTTCACCACTGATTGCTCTGGGCACCAACAAGGTCAGCTGACTTGCTTGGGCACCACAAGCTCCTAATCGCGAGGTCACCAGTTCAGTTCCTGTCCAGGGTCAACTCAGCCCTACCATCATCATCATTATCATCATCAATCGTCTATCCGTGGTCGCTAAAATTAGCACCATCTGGTTGGACTGGGGAGCGGGGTAGTTATTTCCATGAGACATGCACTGCTAGTTTGGTGTGTTACTCCGTTGGGGCTACACAACAGCAATAATCATCCCCCCCACACCTCGCCCTTACTGGCAGGCTCATGTGTCTTGGCAAGCCAGGTTCTGAGTCGCCTTGTGCCCACGGGAACCGCCTGAACCTAGCCTGGCACAAGTCAATCCTATGGCACATGGGACTCTGTCCCGTAACCGCCTGGACCTAGCCTGGTACAAGTCAACTCCATAGCACATGGGTTGTGTCCCGTGACCACCTGAACCTAGCCTGCCACAAGTCAATCCCATGGCACATGGGTCTCTGTCCCGTGACCGCCTGAACCTAGCCTGGCACAAGTCAATCCCATGGCACATGGGTCTCTGTCCCGTGACCGCCTAAACCTAGCCTGGCACAAGTCAACTCCATGGCACATGGGTCTGTGTCCCGTGACCACCTGAACCTAGCCTGGCACAAGTCAACTCCATAGCACATGGGTTGTGTCCCGTGACCACCTGAACCTAGCCTGGCACAATTTAACTCCATGGCACATGGGTCTCTGTCCCCTGACCACCTGAACCTAGCCTGGCACAAGTCAATTCCATGGCACATGGGTCTCTGTCCCCTGACCACCTGAACCTAGCCTGGTACAAGTCAACTCCATGGCACATGGGTCTCTGTCCCCTGACCACCTGAACCTAGCCTGGCACAAGTCAACTCCATGGCACATGGGTCTCTGTCCCGTGACCGCCTGAACCTAGCCTGGCACAAGTCAACTCCATGGCACATGGGTCTCTGTCCCGTGACCGCCTGGACCTAGCCTGGCACAAGTCAATCCCATGGCACATGGGTCTCTGTCCCGTGACCACCTGGACCTAGCCTGGCACAAGTCAATCCCATGGCACATGGGTCTCTGTCCCGTGACCGCCTGGACCTAGCCTGGCACAAGTCAATCCCATGGCACATGGGTCTCTGTCCCGTGACCACCTGAACCTAGCCTGGCACAAGTCAATCCCATGGCACATGGGTCTCTGTCCCCTGACCACCTGGACCTAGCCTGGTACAAGTCAATCCCATGGCACATGGGTTTCTGTCCCCTGACCACCTGAACCTAGTCTGGTACAAGTCAATCCCATGGCACATGGGTCTCTGTCCCCTGACCGCCTGAACCTAGCCTGGTACAAGTCAATCCCATGGCACATGGGTCTCTGTCCCGTGACCTCCTGAACCTAGCCTGGCACAAGTCAATCCCATGGCACATGGGTTGTGTCCCGTGACCACCTGGACCTAGCCTGGCACAAGTCAATCCCATGGCACATGGGACTCTGTCCCGTGACCGCCTGAACCTAGCCTGGTACAAGTCAACTCCATGGCACATGGGTCCCCGTCCCGTGACCGCCTGAACCTAGCCTGGCACAAGTTAATCCCATGGCACATGGGTCCCCGTCCCGTGACTGCCTGAACCTAGCCTGGTACAAATCAATCCCATGGCACATGGGTTTCTGTCCCGTGACCGCCTGAACCTAGCCTGATACAAGTCAATCCCATGGCACATGGGACTCTGTCCCGTGACCGCCTGAACCTAGCCTGGTACAAGTCAACTCCATGGCACATGGGTTTCTGTCCCGTGACCGCCTGAACCTAGCCTGGTACAAGTCAATCCCATGGCACATGGGACTCTGTCCCTTGACCGCCTGAACCTAGCCTGGTACAAGTCAACTCCATAGCACATGGGTTGTGTCCCGTGACCACCTGAACCTAGCCTGGCACAAGCGCTGTGGTTGTTGTTGTGACTCTTTGCTAGCGTGTGTGTGTGTGCGCGTGCAATGCTGGGGATCACAGCACCTACGTCATCTGCAATGTAACACGCGAGCTTTCGCGACCAATATTATAATCCACGATCATATTCTCAGATTAACATAATTTATTGTGATTTATATGACTACATTAACCCTCCCCCCCCCCCTCCCGATCTTCGCAGTGACGGCATCACCTTTGCTCGATGTAATACCGTAACAACTCATTGCCACGTTTCAGGTTGAGTCACAAACCGTACCTCTCCATAACAAAGGCTCACCCTCTTAAGCCTCACCTTACCATATTAATAAATAGTGTGCTGTATTTGCCCCCCCCCCCCTTCTCCAACCATTATATAAACGGAGTGGTAGCTCCTGCAATCTCTCATTTACTTGATACAGCTGTCGTGGCTGTGACGGTTCCACCTGAAGACGGAAGCTTGTGTTGCCTCCGAAACGTCGTGATTTTTATTTTATTTTACTTTTTAATGTTTTTTTACCTACGTGACTTTACCGAAAAAACCTAAGAATATGCCACGTTTTGTTCACGTGACAAAACTGACGAATGGGCTGTGTCGGGTGGTGGTGGGTGAACGACACATTGATATTGACGCAATCTAACGGCACAAAAAAACAACCTCTCTTTATAATTAATCATCCGGATCGCTCCTTCCTTAGAATATTCGGAAGCCACTGCAGCCGGACACTTTAAAATCACCCAGATTGAAAAACTAATTTCTTGACAACTGCTTCCAAGTCAGTTTAACACCTGGCAGGCTTTCGCGACCAATATTATTCCTAAAGATCGCGTAAGTATAAATGTTGATTTGATGCTTTCGTGACTGCAGGAATCCACCCCCCTCTCCCCCCCTTGTTTCTCCCCTCTTCTTACCTATACAACCTCTTGCCACGGCAGCTCTCTCTCCCGCTTCAGCAAACTTTTTCTTGCGGTGGTTTTAGCACCTGATGAAGAAGATTGCTTGTGTTGCAATCGATTTATTGTATTTCTAACTACGTGACTTTACCGAAAGAACCAAAGAGTAAGTATAAATGTGTCGTAACCCTCCACCACCCGACACAGCCAGTAAGGTTTGTCACGTGAACAGCGCGCCAATTAGCAAACTACTTCAGCCCACCGGTGTGTTGGAGAGTAAATCCACAACGTTGACAATTTGAGCAGTGCGACGTTTCGCTGGTAATTACATCCAACGTCATCCGGCGATTTGGCAGAATAGTGAAGCCTGCTTCTCGGTCTTCAATAGATCAAGACGACCTCATCACTGAACCCATCGGGTGTTCTACCCCGCCCGGCTACGTGGCTGTACAAGATGCGTTCGTGGGTGAGATGCAACTCGGAGGCCCCATTGCCTGCCTCGGGCTGGGAGAGGTTGTGGCTCCCCCATGTGGTGGCTGCGTTGAGTCAATTCCACAACATCTTGGTTTCGATTTAAAGCTTTCGTGAGTGCAGAGATTCATCTTCTTGGTTCTTTCGGTAAAGTCACGTAGAAGGGAAGTAATAAAATAATAAAAATAAATATAATAAAATTTCGATTTAAAGCTTTCGTGACTGCAGGGATTCATCTTTTTGGTTCTTTCGGTAAAGTCACGTAGAATGGAAATAATAAAATAATAAAATAAAACGTAATGAAATAATTGTCAAATTCTACGTGACTTTACCGCAAGAACCAAGACGATCTTCTTGGTTCTTTCGGTAAAGTCACGTAGAAGGGAAGTAAAAAAATAATAATAATAATAATAAAACATAATCAAATAATTCTCACGACGTTTCAGCTACAACGCAAGCAGCCGTCATTCTTCACCTGAGGACGGCTGCTTGCGTTGTAGCCGAAACGTCGTGAGAATTATTTGATTATGTTTTATTATTATTTTTTTTACTTCCCTTCTACGTGACTTTACTGAAATAACCAAGAAGATGACTCTCTGCAGTCACGAAAGCTTTAAATCGAAACTCCACAACAGTTTAACACGCGAACAGTATCATCCGTAATAGAGGTTTTTTTTGGGGGGGATAATGTTGGAAGCAGCCGGATAATCGCGCGACAGCGAATAATCGATGATCAACTGTATTTCTCCGCACGCCCGGCACACCACGTCCATGATACCTCTCGCCATGGCTGCGGCTGCCAGTCACGTGCCACCTCAATTCAGAATCTGTATTGATACTGGAAGAGGAATCCGATGAGCTTCAAAGGTTCTTTTACCACAGATGTCCAGTTGTTGGGGGCACGGGGTCGTAACGTTACAACGGACAAACGGTACAAAAACACAACAGCAGTGTAAAGTATAGGAAAGGTAAACAGAAAAAAAATCACTTTAAAAAATAAGCAAATAAAACTATCAATTTTTTTTTATTCCACCAGTTAAAACCCACTGAGCTATTAGCTTCTTTTTCACAAGCGACTTGGCCACAAATGAAGCGGCTGATCACGTGGAAATGTTTACCGCGTGAACTCAAGTTGTTGACGTTGTTGTTGTTGTTGTTTGCTTCCGGCAGGAGCCTCATGCCGCCCACGCTTGAGGGCCAGCTGACGATGGAGAAAACCCCGAGCTACTTCGTGACGGAGGCGGCTCCGGCTCGCATCAGCGCGCTGGCGCGGGACGAACGCGACAGCTTCCGCGGAGACCACAACGGCAGCGGCGGCGGCGGCGGAGGTGGCGACGTAGGAGGTGGAGACATGCGCCTGGTGGTGGTGGTGCGCGACCCCGTGACCCGCGCCATCTCCGACTACGCTCAGACTCTCTCCAAGCAGCAGCAGCAGCAGCCGCCCACCTGCCGCCACCGCCGGCAACGCCACGCGCGTCCCGTCCTTCGAGGCGCTGGCCTTCCGCGCTAACGGCTCGGTGGACCCGAGCTGGAGCGCCGTGCGCATCGGCCTGTACGCGCAGCACCTGGCGCGCTGGCTGCTCCACTTCCCGCTGGGGCGCATGCTCTTCGTGAGCGGCGAGCGGCTGGTGACGGCGCCGGCCGGCGAGCTGGCGCGCGTCCAGCGCTTCCTGGGGCTGCGCCCCGTCATCGGGGAGCAACACTTTGCGTTCGACGCCGCCAAGGGCTTCCCGTGCCTCCAGAGGAGCGGCGGGAAGAGGCCGCACTGCCTGGGCAAGACCAAGGGCAGGCCGCATCCTCGCATAGAGGCCGAGGCCATCCGGAGGCTGCGGGACTTTTACAGGCCCCACAATCAAGAGTTCTACCGGATGGTGGGGCACGACTTTGGCTGGGATTGATGTGGTGAAGACAGTGGTGGAGAAGGTGGTGGCGGTGGTGGGGTAGGAGGTTGATGCGTTGGCAGAGGTGGTGGTGGTGGTGGTGGCGTTCATGATAGGACGGGAACTGGGGGTTACCATCTCTGAGCTAACGAAAAATATTAATCCGGGGCATTTCATGGCGGGGGGGGGGGGGGGGAGGAAAGAATAAGAAGAGGAGGAAGATGAAGACGAAGAATATTCAGACTGGAGCGTCGCCACGCAGCTGACAACAAGCCGGGACTTGCATTAACGGCTCGCAGATTATCCCTGGACCGCTCAACAAGAGGACGGTTCAGGGGACCAAAATAACCGGGACAGGTGGCAACCCCTGCCGTGACACGGTGGTGCTGCTGCTGGTGCTAGTGCCAGCGCAAAGTGTTTAGGCAGTACAGCAAGTGGGTTGCCGACGCCATCTGTCCCCGGGTTTGTCGTGAGCGCCGTGTCTGGCTTTGAGACTCGACGAAGCCTATTGCTGGGTAAATTAATAATTGTTGTTAACGTTATTAGTTGTGTGTGTGTGTGCGTTTTTTTATATCACTCGTATAATTATTATTATTACCGTGCATTATTTAAGTATCTTAAAAAAACCCAGTCCGACGAGAGTTAATATCGGAAACTCTGAACGCGTAGGGACGACGCGTATCTCTCGTGTGTATATATACACACACACACACACGATTTATATATTACCGCTGGTGCCTGATTTTACTCAATTGTCTTCACACACGTGCACTCGGATAAACACACGTGTGTGCGTGTTTAGTTTACATCGAGCAAAGAAATAAATGCAACCCTTGCCAGCCTTTGAAGGACTAAACAACCCGACATCCCACGGAATTTCTCAGCTCTGCCTTTTATTTTTAGAGGGCAGCTCTCGGATGTTGGCTTGTAATGTGGGGATCGAGGGTTACTCCCTCTCCCCCCCTCCGCACGCGTGCATTTTCTCCGGTGGGATTTTTCTCCCCGTTTTCTCTCGCGTGGTGTAAAACCACCCACTGATGGAGTTGGGACAAACGTGCCAATGTAGGACTCCAGAGCTCGGGCAACTTGTTGACGTGGAGTTCTGGCTGCCTTTCCCGAATTGTCTGTGGGTTTCCCCGTGCGCGCTCTGAATCGTTCCGTCTGTGTGTGTGTCTGTCTCTCTCTTTCTCGTGAACGAAAACTGTGCGTGTTACAAATACTAAATTATTATTTAGATTGTCATCTTTGAATAGCTCACGGAGATGGCCGTTACGTTTTATTTTTAGGAAGCCGTCTGTAAATGCACACCGCCGCCGCCGCAACTTTGCTCGTGGCACCTCCAATTGACATCGGACGTTGAGCCAACGTCGGGCCAACGTTGGCTCAACGTTTTGCTCGACGTTGGCCCGACATTGACTCAACGTTGGCCCAACGTTCTGCTCGACGTTGGCCCGACATTGACTCAACGTTGACTCAACGTTGACTCAACGTTGGCTCAACGTTGACTCGACATTGACTCAACGTTGGCTCAACGTTGACTCAACGTTGACTCAACGTTGGCTCGACATTGACTCGACGTTGACTCAACGTTGGCTCAACGTTGGCTCAACGTTGGCATGTAGTTGGAACCATTGGCACGACGTTGGCCCTGACGTTGGCCCTGACGTTGGCCCTGACGTTGGCCCTGACGTTGGCCCTGACGTTGGCCCTGACGTTGGCCCCACCTTTACCGGGCAGCGGCGTCCTTGATGCGCTGCAGGCATCGCCGTTTTTTTTTTTTTGCTGCGAAGGCCCGGACGATTATCAGACGATCTGCATTAGCCCCCTGCGGCGAGAGACGTTAAAGACATGAGGATCCAATCAGCGGGAAATAAGCTCAAGGGTGGCCTACGCGTTTACATTCTTTGTACGAGGCTCACTGATTGAGGTACGGGGTGAGGGAGCGACTTGGGAAAGTGGGGGGGGGGGGGGGGGGCAGTGGGTGAAGGATGGATGAGGTTAAGGAAAATAGAGCAATGCCAATTATTTTTTGTGGTCGCCTGCGATTACACACGGAGGATGATGAGGAGGAGGAAGCGTCCGTCACACTCCAGGCTGCGCGCCGCACGTACATGTCTGTATTATGTTGAACTTCTTTAGGCGACGGTGATAATCGGAGGCGCGGGGGGAAGGACAACAATTTCAACACAACAAAGCAGTTCTAAAGAATTGAGTTTTCAATGTAGCTTTACAAGTGCATAGCTCCTAGTGCCTTCCTAATATCGGAATGAAGAGCGTTCCAGACGGCCTCAAAAGCGCCGCATCTGAAAGCGCCGTGCGATGTGGGTGCCACCGTCTTTGTTCGATGGCTGAGCCAAAAAGCCGCCGCCGCTACTGCGAGGTTGACCGGAGATCACGTGACGACGGCTTTACGCTCCTTGACCAGATGAGCGAGGTAATTGTGGTTCATTTGTGGCGAGCACTTTTTGCGTGTAAGGAAAACACGCGCGTGTGTAATGGAGGTTTTTCGGTTAGTTCGCGTGAATATATAATTTGGCATAATAAAGTTTTTTGGGTTAGATCGCGTTATTTATCAATGTGTCGTAACCCTCCACTGCCCGACACGGCCAAAAAGTAAAAAATGTGTCACGTTTACGAAGGACAAATAAAGCCTCCGTGTTAATATAATTTGGCGTTAAACGCGCCCCCACCCGAAACGGCCGATTAGTAAGGTTAGTCAGGTCAACAGAACGTGCCAATTCGTTGCTAGTACAGCGCACCGGTGTGTTGGAGAGTAAACCCACAGCATTTACAATTTTATTTACGTGACAAACCTTACCAAGTGGCTGTGTCGGGTGGTGGCGGGTTGAACGACGAACATTTACGCGATCTAAGCCCAAAAGTAACCATTTCAGGTGGGAATAAATTAGCCGCATATACAGCGCGAAACCGCACAAATTAAGTGAACGTCATCTTTTCCTTGGTTTGTTCTTGTCGTTGCGTCACAGACATTGGTGTCCCGCTAGGCCAGGTTTAGACCGCTGCACCACCGCTCCCCACACACGCTGACACACACATGGATGACGAAGCCACCCACCCTACCCACCACTCCGCACCAGGTCGTGCGTGACGTGGGTGTAAATTGTGGGTAGCTCACACCTCTTCGAAGACGTCTGGCCAGTGTGGAAGAGTAGGCCAAATACGCCTGCAGATGTGCTCTCGAGAGCTCTTTCCTCTCTCTCTGTCTCTTCCCCCCCCTCTAGTGGAGGCCCGTTGCACCAGCAGTGCCGTGAGCGGGCTATTGCAGGGCTGCGCCCTTGTTTGCCTTTCGGTTTAAAAGCACAACTTGATTTTGTGGGCAAGTACTTGCCACCACAGATCATCGGCGTTAGAGCCTGATAAGTTTAAAATGTACATGATGAAAAATATAAACGACTATATAACGAGGATATCCTACCCCCCCCCCAAAAAAAACAACTAAAAGCCTCCCCCACCTTTGACACGTGTCTGCAAAATGATCCGTCGGCGAGTTGCCGCTACTCTACGATTCAATCATTTTGACACAAAATACGAAGCGTCGTGCGTTCCTGATCATCAACGTTCGTTAGAACCTCCCAAGCAAAATACGAGCTGAGTGACAAAGTCGTGGGGCACATTGTTTTTTGACAGTATCACAATGCTGGCCAGTATCACAATACTGGTAAAAATGTACCCCGTGATGTAGCTGCTCACCCCGAGCTATGAATGCCCTGGTAGTGGCATTGCCCTTGTTCTGTTCGCCTTGTGGCGTCGTTCTTTGCTCTGACACTGGTGAGGCCGGGCCCTAAAGAAGGCTGTCTCTGGTGTAGACCAATCAGTTTCAAAGACAATGCCCATTTATTGTCAAGAGCGTGCTTGTGTGCATGTTCGCTACAAGCACGCGTGGTTTTTGCCGACTTGAATCCTTGCGAAATGTATCTGTGTGGTGTTGAACATCTGAACACCTCATGTTTTAATGCCAGAAAGGGAAAAAAAAACTTATTTTTCAGTGCGCAAAGGCGACGCTTCAACGATGCAAATTTAACGAAGGAGAGCGTTGCCCATTGTAAATTAGTGCCTCTTGCACGAGATCTATATTTTTCCGGAGCGATCGATTACACGGTCACGCGCCGTCTTATCCGACAGCTGTCGGAGCGCGTTACGAACGCTATTGCGTCGTAAGGTCACGGACGTTGGACCGTGCGTGCGTAGGGGAGGGAGGGCTCGTGCCGAGCAAACTGCACTTGCAGAACTTTGTTATGCGATTTTGCCAAACGCAGCAAACAGCACAATGGAGATATTATTTTAAAGGCTACAAATAACCAAAAGTTATCGAGACAAAAATTATACCGCATCGCGGCAAACCCCCGATGAGCATGAGCAACCGGTTTCTATTTAAGATCGGCGAAGATATTTGGAGGTGCATTCTTTTTTTTTTACCAAAGAAATATTTTTGACGCAATGTACATAACTCAGGTAACGAGAAAAAAGCTTAAATTAAGCGCGCAAATGTGTTATTTTACTCTCGTTTGTTTCATCCGTCTGTTTTCTTTCTTTCTTGCTTTTAAACACAAACACGCCAAGGTATTCTGCTTCAAGATGCCACATTTAAATTAATATAGCCTCATAAATGACACACACACACGCACACGCGCGAGTCCATGCAAAGGCCGCCCAGAGTAAAGGGGAAATGAAGCCCAAAATTCCCCCGATGCCCTCCATCTGTGTGACCTCGCACAAGAACGGTGACCCCACAAACCAGTGGTGATCGTAAAGTAAAAAAACGTCGCTCAACAAACCTTCAGTGACTTTCCAGCTCATCGACAACGCGAGGCATTGGTGCTCAACTCCCAGTTTTTGTCCAGCCCTGCAGGTCCACTTGGTGGAAATTCCACATTGCCATGGCGGGGGGTGGGGGGGTGGCGAGTCTATCCGGAGGACAACACTCCGCTGTCAACTTCACCACAAATAAGTAAACCCGTAAAAACAAAGTTTTTCACTCTAAATCCTTTATATGCGTGGCGGCTTGAGTCCTCTCGTCCTCTAGCTTGAGATGGCTGCCACCTATGGGTCAGATGATTGTCTGCAGTATTAAACAATTGGTAATTAAATATAATATTTTTGTCCTATAAAGTGTAAAATTTTGGAAAAAATTTTTCACGAACATTAATTGTCTCGCACAACGAGTCTGTGTGGAAAATGTCAACTCGATTGGATCATGGGAAGTGGGTTAAAAAACGACCGAAAGATTTACACGGTCGTAAGCGCGCAAGCAAGCACGCAAGCAAGCAAGCGAACTTAATATAAAGGATTTAAAAAGTGGTATCTATTTTATCGACCCCCTCCCACTGCAGGGATGATCGGCCGAGACCACCGTCCATCCGTCCCTGGCCAGGATTTGAACTCACGACCTCGCCGAGCCACGGCGAATTCTGATCAATAAATGGCATCGAATTTCGTCTGAAGTAATCGGGATGCGAGGTATAAGGGTAGTGTCCGGAGGGAATAGTGGGGGGCCCTTCCAACATGGCCATTGTGCCCCCCTGGGTGGTCTAAGGGAAACTCTGGGCGGCCCTGGTTCATGCATGGCACGAGTTCACCGTTCGTGTGTTCGTTCCGATTGAGCGTGAACGTGGGTGCCATAGGAGGCGGCAATGCTTTACGTTATTATCTGCGGTATAAACTCGACACGCGCGACACGCATGCACGCGTTCGACGGCGTTCACAAATGTAAAACTGCCGCGGTGATGTTTTTGTTAGTTGCGAAACGGCTCTCGGATTCATCACCACCACGCATATACACACTTAAGTTATTTAAACATGCAGGAATATTGAATAAAGTATTTATATCTTTTGGACGCATGTGTATTGGTACTCCCTTATTATTTTTTTACACAAAGCCCGCCGAAAAACTGTGTGCCACACACTGCCAGCAAGATCCCGTATCGGTATCGATCAACGTCCTTTACTCAATCTTCAGGTTAAGAGGCGCTGCACATAGTCAAGATCATCAAGGAATTTGGTAGTTACCTCCTGGAGGGATGTTGGAATTTCTTTCGCATCGTACATGGCCAACCGTGGCTAATTGGAGATGCCAGTGGTGTCAATTCCTGTCGAAGGCGAGCGAGCCTATCCGTGAGAACCCACTTGTGTCGTTGACTTGCTCACAGAGTGGTGCTTATTGTATCGATACCGGAGGGATGACAGCCTGAGTCAATACCCCCCTCCCCTCCCGCGCAGAATCACTTACAAAAGGGCAGAGGCTGAGATCCCCCCCCCTTCCCCTGCGGTGGAGAGACGAGATTAAAGCAGACATCTGAATTGCAAGTTCCAGTGTGCCAACCATGACATCATCACAACAGAGACAGTAAATCGAGCTGTGACGGTCCCACCTGATGATGGAGACTTGTGTTGCCTCCAAAACGCCGTGATTTATTATTTTATTTCTATTTTTTCAATTATATTTCTCTTTGGTTCTTTCGGTAAAGTCACGTATAAAGATAAAATAATATTATTTTATCTTTAAGATATATTATTTCTTATTAATTTTTTTACCTACGTGACTTTACCGAAAAACCTAAGAGTATCATCACAACAGCATAGACCAAACTTTTTATTTAACCAGGAAAGGCACAGAGTAATATCGATCTTCCTCAAGTGACCTGGCTCTCACAAATGGATAGCTACGATGAAACGGTGTTATCGTGTGGAAAAACGTACAGCAGCCAAATAGTCGAACGAAAACGGGTGTTTTTGAATGTGGAGGATTAAACCGGACAAGGAGAAAAATCCACGCGGCCCACAGGGAGAACATGCAAAACTCCAAATATACAGGCGTCAGGGTTGGGATCGAACCCACAAACTCCTGCATACGAGGCTAGACGGTTAACATCGCACCACCGCTACACCCTAAAGTGCAGTGCAAGTCACAGTCTACCCTCAACGACAGAGGAGGCCTGAAACTCTTCCATAAAATCACTCGCAACTGACTTCATAATCCACGACAGGCAAAATTCCTGGGTAAGTACAGTACTCTGTCCACCGCTTTGATTTGGACTGTTGTGTGTGGACTCCATTGAGAATTAAAATTTCGAAACTGGAGATAGCATCGAAATAGACAAGCCAGAGCGGAAATTGACACCGCATAAGCCAAGCACATTTTCGTCACTGTATTTATAAGGCTTAATAAAGTCTAAATTACGATAACCGCACTCATTTCATAACGATAAGCACTTAATTCACTCTTATCAACCAAAGCAAGAAAATGGCACCCGCTAAAGTTAAGCCACATTAGGTCTTACTGCCGAAGTGAAACATCTGGTATTGAATCTTGATTAGAAGCTTTCGTGACTGCAGGAATCCATACTCTGTTTTTTTCGGTAAAGTCACGTAGGTAGAAAATAGAATGGTATTGGCTGAAAGTCCAATTGGAACAATTGACGTTGGCGACGGGTGACCTAGCACAACCCCAATCCTTTTGATCAGTGAACTCCTTTTCTATGCAGTTGATAGCAACGATGGGAATGGGATATGTAAACTCTGGGTTCAAGCATCCATCAGTAACCCAGCTTACACTAAAGGATATCACAAAGGGATTAAACTAGTGGGGAGTGGCAGTGCAGCAGTTAGCAAGCTGCACTATTAGGCCGTCTACCCGAGTTAGCTTCCCATTCACGGCCAGTAGCAAGTGACAATTATCTGAACCGGTCCTGTGTCGACTCCGCCTTAATTACGTCCTTCGTGAAATGTGCAAACATCACCACGAGTTGCGACAAAGATGGCAGGGCATGGTGCTGGTCACCCTCCACCTTGTGCCGTGTCAGCGTTCGTTAAGTGCTCACTAACAGCACTTGCCAAGTCTGCTTAACACATGAGAGTTCATGATCAATATTATCCATAAGGGTTTTTTTTTTGGGTTAGATTGTGTAAATGCCGTTAAACCTGCCACCACCCAAAACAACCAATTAGGTTTGTCACATAAACAAAATTTGGCAAATGGTTACGAGTTCAGCACACAGATGTATTGGAACTGTAAAGGTTGCGGGTTTCCTCAAAACACCGGCGTGCCGGACTAGTAACTAAATAAGCATGTTTACTTTGACAAACCTTATTAATGGGCAGGTGGCGGGTTTAACGACGTTTATAGTCACGCAATAAAATAACCCTCGTATGGACTTGCCGAGTCTGTTTAGGCTATACAGGAGAAAAAAACATTTAATTTCAAGGGCGGTCTATGGTCCAAACACTGCCATCTAGTGTGCCGACTACTCCACTGCAAGCGACAGCATGAAGCAACACAATTAACTTTTGGGGTTTTTTATTAATAGAAACGCACAGCAATTTCAAATTGTAAGCATAATATCCAATACTACGCGAGTCATATGGTCTACAACTGGAAGAAATGCCTCCGCGGGGTTTCAGTAGATGCAATGAATGTAAAAGGCCAACTGCAGTCATTGCCAGATTAAATTAATAGGAGGCATTTCCAGTTGTAGAATTAACAATAACAAATGTACACGTCTTTATTACAAAAATGTTGTGTAGGCAGGTGTGTAAGTACGAATTTTTTTTATCCTAGAGACTAATTATAGCAGTGGTACAAATGTTCCCCCTGCTCAAATGAGCATAGGGAAGTTAATCTCCACATAACTATGGATTAAACGTTTCTTTTTTTTTGCACCGACATAAATTTGCAGTGGCATTTTTTTATTTTCCAGTTCTCACCTTCCAAAAGAGATGTCAATTGGCTCATCTGGTTCAAGTTTAGATTTTATCAACCGTAAAAAAGGATGTTGGGGTCAAGCCACGCCTCGACCATGAGCTTACAACTTAAAACATTGTGCCCCCACTCGGCCAAACAAAAAATGTAGTAACAAGTCATTCCAAATAAAAGTCTTGAAATGGTATTTTCTGAACTCGGAAATTTCCCACCACTGCATTGGCCGCTTGGACGACGTCAAACAAAAAAAATAAAGAAAATAAAAGTGAAATGATAGTTTAATTTTGAATGCACCTTCTAAAATGAGTTGTGTCATTACATTTGCATCTGGCATTGGCTGGGGGCTGGAGAGCTGAGGAACTCCCGCAGCTGAACACTCCTGCACAGCAACACAGCTCTGCTCTCCGCCCGCATCATGTAACCCTAACCACCAACCACCACCACTACACAACCGCTAGTGTACTCACCGCCTGATGCACAGAAAATACAACACAATGTGGTTAGTCTTCATTTGCAAAAACACAAAACTGCACACAGTCGACACAAACGTTGCAAATAAAAAAAACACAACCTAAATATTTCTGCGCAAGTCTACAAAGCAAAAAATCTGTTTTCTTTCATATATATACAACACGTGTACACAAGCACCACGCCAAAACTATAGCAGTGTTTGGCTGCTCATTGGCATCGTCTCAAATTTGTATGTATAGCATGGAAGTTGTTCAAAAGGGGGCCCCGGACACTGCTATTGTTTGCGTCAAAATTCTCACTGACGATTAAATGCAAAAACAAAAAAACTAATTAGAAAAACAACTTTCTTAAAATCCACAACTATACTTCGTGAATTTCACCCTCGCAGACCACCTATGCCATTTCAGCAGTCGTAAGAAACAGCCAGACTGGCGATGATTTCCAATGGAGTCGTAGATTTCCAACAAATTTTTTTTAGCTTTCGTCTTCTTTCCCCATGTCGGATCTGCAGGGTGAAAACAAACAGCACACACAACAATTACACACACGAAGAGCCGGCATTCACAAACGCGACTGTATTAAATAATCTGCTAGTGTAGAGTGTGTGCTTAATGCGTAGTGTCACCGGATAAAACTGAATTCCATCCCAAACTGACAGGTCTGTTTTTGCATTTGCAATGTTACGATAATTAAACAATTATCAGTCACTTCTGTACAAGCTGCAAGTGAAGAACTTGGGGTTTTTCTAAACGTTAACTGTGGTGGGATTCAGTTAAAGCTCCGAGTGATGTGTTCTGACAACCTGTCATGCGAGCAAGTTACCTCAATGATTGCATGCAAATTATTCTATCACTGGCAGTTAACGTTGCTTTGCACGTACTACGTGTACATTTGTTGCACACGAATGTATAGAATAGGTGGCTCATAAGAACGGCCACAGCGTTTCAGCAGTCTCTGCTTGTGTTAAAGGATGGCCATGGGGAGGAGCCTCATTTTGCAGACGTGCATTTCGCACCGTCCTTGTCACCCGCCGACTCCGTAGCAACTTACCGCGGGGGCAGCGGCAACAGATTTATCCTTTGGCCCTTACCACTTTACCACCGATAATCACTTTGCCTTTTTTTCCTCCCTAATGCGCTCCAGCACCACCAACAGCCACAACAACGCCACACCACCTCAACCGCCAGCCGGCAGCTACAGCGCCACACCACCCAGCTACTCCGACCCCCAACAGTAACGCCGGCTCTCATCAGCAGGGCCGCTCTCCGGCGTCTAGCCGCACGCTTCAAAATGCAGCAGCACAGGTCAGCGTCGGGCGCGCCAAACACCAACCCCGCTCTCCCCCACCCCCTGCGCCACAACCGCCTCCGCTATAGAGATTGGCACACACCAACATCGCATTCGTGTACCGTCAAAAGGCACGCCTGTCATCAACTACTACGTCGCGTTACACACCAGAGTCTGCGTTCGAATGGGTCGATGACATATCTCTTCTCTGGATTTAATTTGGTTTTTTTTTTGCGGTTTGAGCCAGTCAATGGGATTACCAAAATGACGCAAACATTTCAAGGGTGGGCCCGTTTAAATGACGCATACGAATATACCCGCAGAAAAAAGGGGGGCCAAATTTGTCGTTTGCATGTTTGTTGGCATAAATGTAGTCAAAATGGGATTTCAACAAAGCACACATTTTAAGAGAACATTTAAATTTAGGAGCGATAAAAATGTTGCAAATAAAGTTAAAACGAAATGAAGAATAATTTAGTTGGCCAATTTGTTTAAAATAATGGACATTTATATGTACTTTATAGCACGGTATGTCATAAAGAGCTACATCTAAGAATAAAACAGGTCATCAGCATTAAGTCATGCATTTCAGGGCAAATGATCAATGCAAAACAATCAACATTAACAGTAACACAAGGCAATACTTTTGTAAATTCTTAAAAGACGCAAACCTAAAAAGCACTTGAGTTGTGTGTCAACTGGGCTGTCCAACACGAGATTGAATCCTCATCGGTGAGGAAACTAAATGAGAGTAGTTTTCAGGAAACCTTTTAAGGTATTCCTGTGATGTCACTACATCATGACAGCCATACATATCCATGCAACGTCTCTAAACACAATTAAGAAATTAGGTTTCCAACGAGTGCATATTACCTGTTCCGATACTCGAATCTGAACAGACATTGATGAAGAAAATAGAAAAGCTGACCAATTACACAAAGCCACATGGAGAGATGCACGCTGGGAAATCAATAAAGATGAAATTGAGGACCACGAAAAAGTAAACACTTCATACTGGCTTTTGGTGAAGGTTTGTGCAGGACACATGGCGGGAAGCGATTATAAAGATCTGTGAGGAATGGAAGCCAAAGTAGGGAACAATGCCACAAAGTACGTCCACCATGGACATGGAGTGATGAGATTAGCTGATGTGCAGGAATGAATGAAGACTGTAATATCACGAGACGTGAGAGAAGATAGCAATGGCGGTAAGGGCTGTCATTGTGCAGTTGACAATAATAATTTACATTTTTATAAGTAACAATTCATCCATCCAGGGACCTCGGTGAACGACGACATTCCTGTCAAGTCAACAGATGCCAGTGTGCAACCAGCACTTTCAAACTCGTGATGGCTATACTCGGACTAGACTACAAATATCGCCAGCATATTACTGCAGCAGAGTAAACATGCCCCCCCAATGGCTACGAATCGGAGTTACAGATTCCGGTGCCAATTTTCCTTTTAGATTGCGTCTTCCGTTAACGCGCATTAAGCAACCCGTTATATAAATTAACCCGCACTTTGAATAATATACAATGTCTTGCGACGGACCCAGCTAACCACGAACGTGCTCACCCCCGCCACCCCCCACTCACTTGTTGCCGTTCTCCCCGTGATTGCGTGGTGATGCAGACCTGCGTGGGGATTTGGATCCCGATCGCGAACGCTGCTTAGACTTGGAGCGCGAGCGGGTCTTGGACTTAGACTTGGAGCGAGACTTGGAGGGTGATTTGGATGTACGCTTGCGGTGCTGCTTGGCGGGGCTCCGGGAGCGGCTCTTCGAGTCCGACTTGGACCGCGACCTGTAGGGGCAGCGCCGTTAAAAACAGAGGGCAAAGCTGTACCAAAGTGAACTAAAAAACGATTTGAACAGGAAAGGCCCACCGAGCTATAGATTTTTTTAAGAAGTGACCTGGCAACAAGTAATAGATCAACGAAGTGAAAATTTTGGGAGCCAAATACTCTAAACAGAGCGTGCCAAGTTATAAGCATGGCAAAAATGCTTTAAGTACGAAATAACTACAATTAGAGGGACATTTTGAAATGGTGGGCCTCATTGTAGTCGTGGCCCAAACGAAGACAAGCCACAGGGAATACATATCGCACACTGCTCGCCTGTGAGGTCGTCGATTCGATCCCAAACCTGACACTTGTAATATTTGCAGTTTGCATGTTTTCCCAATGGTCACGTGGATTTTCTCCGGGTCCTCCAGCTTTTCCCTCAACATTTAGAATCGACATGCGTTTTAGAGTGTTTGGCTGCTATACATTTCCACATGAGCCACTTCGTTGAGCTATCACTCTTGGCCAGGTCACTTCTGAAAAAGAGCTATTGCATCCAACTCAGTGCGCCTTCTCAGGCGGTAAAATAAAAAAAAAAGAGTTTAGTTTTATATTCCTTGGGTCTTTTGGTAAAGTCACATAAATAGGTTCAAATTAATAAAAATGAGAGAAACAAAAAACTACGACGTTTCGATCGCAACACAAGCTAGATTTTAAGCTTTCGTGACTGCAAGGATTTTACCAAAACAACCTAGGAGTACGCAACACAAGCGGCTACAATTTCTCGAGTACATCATCTCTCCATTTATAACAATCTCCGATGCTCATCAGTTTGTTTAACCCCTCAAACTTCTCCACTCATTCCACCTGCAACCGCTGGGGAGAGCCGAGGTGAGGAGCCCGGCTCTATCCACTGCAGGCCTAGACTACTGGCTATAGTTTGCTCTATCCACTGCTGGCCAAGAATACCTCTAGTAGACCATGCCTATTGCATGCGCTATCCACTGCTGGCCTAGGCTCCATCTATAGTTTTTGCTACATCATAGCCTAGGCTCCATCTCTACAGGAAGCTCTATCCACTGCTGACCTAGACTCGTGTGCCCTGCCCTAACACTTGGGTTACACCCACTTTTAAACCTTTATAAACAGCTGCATTCGAGGCTTACCCCCCTTTTATCTCCGCCTGATGACGACCGCTTGTGTTGCGATCGAAACGTCGTAGTTTTATTTTTTTATTAATTTGAACCTATCCACGCGACTTTACCGAAAGACCCAAACAACATGAACTCCAGCAGTCACGAAAGCTTCAAGTCAAGTTTAGTTTTAGTCTCAACGTGCGTGCGCGTCCCCACCTGGAGCGGCTCTTGGAGCGTCGCCGCCTGCGGTCCTTACGGTCGCGAGAGCGCGAGCGGGAGTGCGAGCGAGATCGACTCGAGCTGCGCGAATAGCTTTTACGACGTCGTCCGCTGCTGCTGCTGCTCCACCATGGCACAGACGAAAATGGGCGTGCACACCAAAGGCGTTGAACAATTTGCTGCTAATGACGAATTGCCAAAATACAGCGCTGTAAAAAAATGCATCCTTGTCACTATGCTAACACATCTACACTCCCTGCTTTTATCAACTCGCACTGACCAGCAGCCAATCAACCCCCTCGGGGCGCAGACTGCGGCAGGGATATCGGTGCCACACGCTACAGCGAAGGGTGTGTCCCCCCCCCGGCTGTGTTTTTGGGACAGGAGGACCAAGGTTTTGATTGGGGCCCACAATAACCAAAAAGTTGAGATCCACTGCTCTACCTAAAAGCTTTGCCTCTCCCCCATTCCACACTGCCACGATACCCAGCCAGCACGACACAAACTAACCTGCCGTGCGTCCGCCGCGGTGCGGCACGGCGCTGGAAGTAGGGGTCAGCGGGCCGGCTGTACCGCGCCACCTGCACGCGCAGCTCGCGCCCGTCAAGCATTTTCCCATCCATGGCGTCCATGGCGTCCTCGGCGTCGCGCTTATCGTAGAAGCGCACAAAGGCGAAGCCGCGGCTCTCGCGCGTGAAGCGGTCGCGAGGGATGTACACGTCGCCAACGTCGCCGTACTTCTCAAAGGAGCGCCGCAGCATCTCGGGTGACGTGCGGTACGTCAGGTTGTCCACCTGCAATGCGCGGGAGGGACGTGAGAATGGCACCGCGCGCGCAGATGTTAATGTGGCTCGAACGTCACCATAAAGCAAAAGACAGGTTTTTTTCACAGTTTATTTAGATCTCGATTTAAAGCTTTCATGACTGCAGGGATTCATCTTCTTGGTTCTTTCGGTAAAGTCACGTAGAAGGGAAGTAATAAAATAATTCTCACAAAATAAAACATAATAAAATAATTCTCACAAAATAAAACATAAAATAATTCTCACATAATTATTTTATTATGTTTTATTTTTATTATTTTATTACTTCCCTTCTACGTGACTTTACCGAAAGAACCAAGAAGTTTATTTAGAATTGCCTTGTGAGCTAAGAAGCTTTTAAATCGGGTTTCATCAACTGCCGCGATTCGGATTAGAGTTCGTAAGGCTCACCACTTATTATATTCCCGTCCGCACCTACAAACCGATTCACAATGTGACTTGCCTGCCTTCCACATCCTCCACCCATAAATGAGAAAACTCAAAACCTCTCATCATTCAAGGATCAACGACGAGAGAGGGTTCATCAACTCGCAGGCTGCGGGCCAAACGTGACGTGCAAATGTTCATGTTGTGGCTTGCCGAGAGCCGTTCCAAGATTAAAGGGATGTAGGCGATAAAAAAGAAAAAAAAAATGAACACCGTCAATAAAATAATTAAGGTGATATGAATTCGCCAATGATATCTTTCCTAAGGCAGTGTTATTGACGAATGTATCGAGGGTCCGTTTTGCTTTTACAGCACTAACAAAACGTGTTAAATATTAAATGAGGTAAAAGAGCTAAACCAAAGATACATTTTGAGACAAGGGGGGTGTGGGGGGGTAGACGTGGCCACGTGGGGATCGTACGAAGCACGCCAATTCTATTTTCGCCTTTCGTAAAATATAAACTACAAGAAACCTGAATTACGCGCTCAGCAACTTTTAGATCTCATCTCGCTCTACCTCCCTGCACACGCTTCTGCTCCAGCAAATACATCCTCAATAGGTGGCGGCTTTATCTAAAAACTGTGTTTTATCTTAGCAGGTAAGGCCTGCGGAGATGTAACTTTTCAGAAGCGATTTGGCCACAAACAATAGCTCAACTAAGTGGCTTGTGGAAATTTATAGCAGCTAAATACGTAGTCTAAACGCATGTTTATAAATGGTGGGGAAACCCTGAGAATCCATAGAAAACTCCACACCACCACGGGGAGAACACGAAAACTACAAATATACAGCAGGCGTCAAGGGTCGGGATTGAACCCCCGACCTCCCCCTGTATACCAGGCGAGGTAGTTAACATCTCCTGGCAACCGCAGCACCCCATCCTGCTTGTGCTCACTTCCAAGACTCCATGCTTGAAACTTTGCGCCTCAATCACCCGCTGAATCTTTTTCCCTGATCGCATAGCCTGATACTACCTCACCTTTTAAATATAAACTACAAAAAGTAGCCATATTCACCTATGTATAGAGCGTCCTACGATTTGGCCACTTTCTATATCAACGCATTTACTGCGAATCCACTTACAAGGAGACAACACAAATAAGCATTTCTAAAAGTGTGTACTATGTTCAACTACTTTTGCACCATAAGTCGCCGACCGTGCCAATCGGAGGTGCGGAGGAATAACTCAAGTGTGTTATTTAAGGGACACCATCGATCGTGAACGTACCTCATGGCAACAGAAACGCAACACGTGATTAGAAGAGCCCAACAACGACTTCCCAAACAATGAAATACAAGGCAAGAGACTGCCACGGTATACATTCAAAGGAAATGTTCGACAGTGTATACACGCAAGTCCAGCATGACAAATATTAAGCGACGGTCCAACACTGCAGAACACGGGCCAATATTACACAATACTGTTTTTTTCGATTGTTTTACCTAGGTGACTTTACCGATAAAAACAAAGTATTGTGATTTCATTTAGTTGTTTACATTTATTTTATTGATTGTTTTACCTACATGACTTTACCGAAAAATCCAAAGAGTATGTGATTTTATTTAGTTGTTTTCATTTATTTTGTTTTACCTACGTGACTTTACCCAAAAAAAGAGTATGAATCCTTGCAGTCACGAAAGCTTCAAATCTAGAATATTACACAACTTGATTCCGTAACAATTACACATTTAAAGCAAATTATTTTTAAAATACTTAAAACAAATCAGATTTAAATTCACATTAAGGTATATATTAGGTAGGTAAAAATAAATAACATTTATCCTATTACTTATTTTTATTATTTATTTTTACCTACGTGACTTTACCGAAAAAAACCAAAGAGTATGTGATTTAATTTAGTTCTCATTTATTTTCTTGTTTTACCTACGTGACTTTACCGGAAAAAACGAGTATGAATCCTTGCAGTCACGAAAGCTTCAAATCTAGAATATTACACAACTTGATTCCGTAACAATAACACATTTAAAGCAAATTATAAAAAAAAAAAACTTCAAACAAATCAGATTTTAATTCACATTAAGGTATATATTACGTCGGTAAAAATAAGTAAATAACAGCAAAATTAATCCTATTACTTATTCTTATTATTTATTTTTACCTACGTGACTTTACCGAAAAAATCAAAGAGTATGAATAATTGCAGTCACGAAAGCTTCAAATCTACAAGTATAAATATCACGACTGCACACACCACGTGCTCCAGTTGTTACGCGACACTTACCCGTGGAAGATTCCAGCCAAGAAGAAGCAATTCGACATTTATAATCGCAAACTCATCATCAAATATTATAAATACAATGCTGGTTCTAGGCCTCTCTAAATCGCCACCAACATCTTACGAACCGGCGATGAAGCTAATACAAATTAAACTTGAATAATTAGAAAAATTTAAATACATTTAACCTCCTCGGTCATCTTTGTCCATGCGACGCCGTTAAAATAATGAACCGATTCGGACGCGTTCTTCGACTCCTGAACATCACAATTAAAACACACGACGGCGTAAGAACTTACGAACGACCACTGCGCCCTCACAATATAACATTTCGGCGGATAACATTTAAAGCAAACGCGGTAACGTTACACAATCCTTAACTTCAACACGAGGATAGGCTTAGGCCTGATTAGTAGGCCGCTATTGCGCCGCACCTTAAGCGTGTGCATGCCGTCCACATCCGGCGGTGGGCGTCCGTAGCTCATGGTCGGCTCTTGACTGATGACTCTTGCCGAGGATAAACGAGTTAAGTTTTTTACTTTAAAGGCGAACTTGTGATTTCAATGTCCCCGTCTCTGTGCGGAGCGCATCTGTGGAGCCTCCGAACTGCGCCGCTTACTGCCACAAAATGGCGCTTGACGACGAAACAATATGGCGGTTAGGTCACGTGACACGCCCCCCACCCCCCCAGCACGCCCCTCCCTACCCCTCCCTCCTCCACCCCGCCCCTTCCTCCACACCCCCCCCCCCCCACACTGCCCCCCACCCCCCACACTCCCCCCCCTACACTCTCCCCCCACTCCACACTCCCCCCCAACACTCCCCCCCCACACTCCCCCCCATCTCTCCCACCCCCACACTCCCCCCCACACCCCCCACACTCCCCCCCTACACTCCCCCCCTATACTCCCCCCCTACACTCCCCCCCACACCCCCCACATTCCCCCCCCACACTCCCCCCCACACTCCCCCCCACACTCCCCCCACACTCCCCCCCCCCCCCACACTCCCCCACACTCCCCCCCCTACACTCCCCCCCACTCTCCCCCCCACACTCCCACACATCCCACCCCACCCCACACTCCCCCCAACACTCCCCCACATCCCCCCACCCCACCCTCCCCCCCATCTCTCCCCCCCCCACACTCCCCCCCCCACACCCCCCACACTCCCCCCCCTACACTCACCCCCAACACTCCCCCCCCCACACTCCCCCCCATACTCCCCCCCACTCTCCCCCCCCCACACTCACCCCCACACTCCCCCCACACTGCCCCTCCACACTCCCCCCCACTCTCCCCCCCCACACTCCCCCCCCCACACTCCCCCACACTCCCCCCCTACACTCCCCCCCACTCTCCCCCCCACACTCCCCCCCACTCCCCCCCACACTCCCCCTTCTACACTCCCCCCCCCCACATTCCCCCCTACACTCCCCCCCACACCCCCCACACTCCCCCCCCCTACACTCACCCCCAACACTCCCCCCCCCCACACTCCCCCCCATACTCCCCCCCACTCTCCCCCCCCCCACACTCACCCCCACACTCCCCCCACACTCCCCCTCCACACTCCCCCCCACTCTCCCCCCCCACACTCCCCCCCCCACACTCCCCCACACTCCCCCCCCTACACTCCCCCCCACTCTCCCCCCCACACTCCCCCCCACTCCCCCCCACACTCCCCCTTCTACACTCCCCCCCCCACACTCCCCCCCCCACACTCCCCCTCCCCACACTCCCCCCCACACTCCCCCCCCACACTCCCCCTCCACACCCCCCACACTCCCCCCCCACACTCCCCCCCCAACACTCCCCCCCCCACACTCCCGCCCCAACACTCCCCCCTACTCTCCCTCCCACTCTCCCCCCCCCCCCACACTCCCCCCCCTACACTCCCCCCCATCTCTCCCCCCACACTCCCCCCCCACACTCCCCCCCCACACTCCCCCACACTCCCCCCTCCTACACACACCCCCACACTCCCCCCCCCACCCCACACTCCCCCCCTACACTCCCCCCCACTCTCCCCCCCACACTCCCCCCCACTCCCCCCCACACTCCCCCTTCTACACTCCCCCCCCACACTCCCCCCCCCCACACTCCCCCCCCCACACTCCCCCTCCCCACACTCCCCCCCACACTCCCCCCCCACACTCCCCCTCCACACCCCCCACACTCCCCCCCACACTCCCCCCCCAACACTCCCCCCCCCCCACACTCCCGCCCCAACACTCCCCCCTACTCTCCCTCCCACTCTCCCCCCCCCCACACTCCCCCCCCTACACTCCCCCCCATCTCTCCCCCCCCACACTCCCCCCCCCACACCCCCCACACTCCCCCCCCTACACTCACTCCCAACACTCCCCCCCCCACACTCACCCCCACACTCCCCCCACACTCCCCCTCCACACTCCCCCCCACTCTCCCCCCCCACACTCCCCCCCCCACACTCCCCCACACTCCCCCCTCCTACACACACCCCCACACTCCCCCCCCCACCCCACACTCCCCCCCCTACACTCCCCCCCACTCTCCCCCCCACACTCCCCCCCCCACACTCCCCCCCCCCACTCCCCCCCACACTCCCCCCCACTCCCCCCCACACTCCCCCTTCTACACTCCCCCCCCCCACACTCCCCCTCCCCACACTCCCCCCCCACACTCCCCCCCACACTCCCCCCCCACACTCCCCCTCCACACCCCCCACACTCCCCCCCCACACTCCCCCCCCAACACTCCCCCCCCCCACACTCCCGCCCCAACACTCCCCCCTACTCTCCCTCCCACTCTCCCCCCCCACACTCCCCCCCCTACACTCCCCCCATCTCTCCCCCCCCCCCACACTCCCACCCCCACACCCCCCACACTCCCCCCCCCTACACTCACCCCCAACACTCCCCCCACCACACTCCCCCCCATACTCCCCCCCACTCTCCCCCCCCCCACACTCACCCCCACACTCCCCCCACACTCCCCCTCCACACTCCCCCCCACTCTCCCCCCCCCACACTCACCCCCACACTCCCCCCACACTCCCCTCCACACTCCCCCCCACTCTCCCCCCCCCACACTCCCCCCCCCCCACACTCCCCCACACTCCCCCCTCCTACACACACCCCCACACTCCCCCCCCCACCCCACACTCCCCCCCCTACACTCCCCCCCACTCTCCCCCCCACACTCCCCCCCCCACTCCCCCCCACACTCCCCCCCACTCCCCCCACTCCCCCCACACTCCCCCTTCTACACTCCCCCCCCCACACTCCCCCCCCCCACACTCCCCCCCCACACTCCCCCTCCCCACACTCCCCCCCACACTCCCCCCCACACTCCCCCTCCACACCCCCCACACTCCCCCCCCCACACTCCCCCCCAACACTCCCCCCCCCACACTCCCGCCCCAACACTCCCCCCTACTCTCCCTCCCACTCTCCCCCCCCCCCACACTCCCCCCCACTCCCCCACACTCCCCCCCCACACTCCCCCCCACACTCCCCCACATCCCCCCCTCCACACTCCCCCCCCACACTCCCCCCCCACCACCCCCCCCCCCCACACTCACCACCATCCCCCCCCACTCCCCCCACACTCCCCCCCACACTACCCACACCCCCCCACCATCCCCCCTCCACGTCACCTCCCCCCCTCCCCACACTCCCGACCCTCCACCCACCCCACACTCCCCCCCCCACACTCCCCTATCCCTTCCCTTCCCATGCTGCAAATCCACACGGGCTAAGCTCCCCCCACACCCCCCATTCCCTCCCCCACACTCCCCCCCCCACTGACCAACTCCCCCCCCCCCCACCTCCCCCCTCCCCCCCACTCCCCCCACTCTCCCCCCCCACACTCCCACACATCCCACCCCCCCCACACTCCCCCCAACCTCCCCCACATCCCCCCACCCCACCCTCCCCCCCATCTCTCCCCCCCCCCCCCCCCACCCCCCCCCCACACCCCCCACACTCCCCCCCCTACACTCACCCCCAACACTCCCCCCCCCACACTCCCCCCATACTCCCCCCCCACTCTCCCCCCCCACACTCACCCCCACACTCCCCCCACACTGCCCCTCCACACTCCCCCCCACTCTCCCCCCCCACACTCCCCCCCCACTCCCCCCACCCCCCCCTACACTCCCCCCCACTCTCCCTCCCACTCCCCCCCCACACTCCCCCCCACTCCCCCCCACCTCCCCCTTCTACACTCCCCCCCCCCACACTCCCCCCCACACTCCCCCCCCACACCCCCCCACTCCCCCCCCACACTCCCCCCAACACTCCCCCCCACACTCCCCCCCACTCCCCCCCACACTCCCCCTTCTACACTCCCCCCCCCACACTCCCCCTCCCCACACTCCCCCCCCCACCCTCCCCCCCACACTCCCCCCCCCACCCTCCCCCTCCCACACCCCCCACACTCCCCCCCACACTCCCCCCCCAACACTCCCCCCCCCCACACTCCCGCCCCAACACTCCCCCCTACTCTCCCCTCCCACTCTCCCCCCCCCCACTCCCCCCCCTACACTCCCCCCCATCTCTCCCCCCCCCCACACTCCCCCCCCCACACCCCCCACACTCCCCCCCCCTACACTCACCCCCACACTCCCCCCCCCACACTCCCCCCCATACTCCCCCCCACTCTCCCCCCCCCCACACTCACCCCCACACTCCCCCCACACTCCCCTCCACACTCCCCCCCACTCTCCCCCCCCCACACCACCCCCACACTCCCCCCCACACTCCCCCTCCACACTCCCCCCACTCTCCCCCCCCCCACACTCCCCCCCCCCCACACTCCCCCCACTCCCCCCTCCTACACACACCCCCACACTCCCCCCCCACCCCCACTCCCCCCCCTACACTCCCCCCCACTCTCCCCCCCACACTCCCCCCCCACACTCCCCCCCCACTCCCCCCCACACTCCCCCCCACTCCCCCCACTCCCCCCACACTCCCCCTTCTACACTCCCCCCCCACACTCCCCCCCCCACACTCCCCCCCCCACACTCCCCCTCCCCACACTCCCCCCCCACTCCCCCCCACACTCCCCCTCCACACCCCCCACACTCCCCCCCCCACACTCCCCCCCAACACTCCCCCCCCCACACTCCCGCCCCAACACTCCCCCCTACTCTCCCTCCCACTCTCCCCCCCCCCCACACTCCCCCCCACTCCCCCACACTCCCCCCCCCACACTCCCCCCCACACTCCCCCACATCCCCCCCTCCACACTCCCCCCCCACACTCCCCCCCCCCACACCCCCCACACTCCCCCCACACCCCCCACACTCCCCCCCACACTCCCCCCCCACACCCCCCCCCCCCCACACCTCCCCCACCCCACACTCCCCCCCCCCACACTACCCCTATCCCTCCCTTTGATGCTGCAAATCCTGCACGGGCATAATATGACTTTGAAAACCCCCCGCCCACCTCCTACGCATTTCACAAGTAGTACTAATCACATACCTGCATTTCCCATAAATATGCTAAATTCATCTTGATATGCAAATTATTTTGTCAAGGCGCCCTTCCCCCCTTCCAACCCAGCTTAAATATACGCTCCAAGCGTGATGGTGTTCATTCAGACGCTGTCTCCCCGACAGACCTGGTCTTCACCTGAGGACGGCTGCTTGCGTTG